GGCTGAGCCCCAAACCCTCATCACACCTGGAACCAGAGCCCCTGCCACAGTCCAACCCGGCCCAGCACCTCCCTATCACAGCTGGCATCAGGCCCTTGCCACAGCCCAGACCAGCCTCAAATCCCCTGCCACAGCCTGGACCAGACTCTTGTCACAGCCCATCCTGACTCCAAACTCCCTATCCCAGCCAGGACCAGACCCCCTGGCACGGTGCAGCCTGGCTCCAAACACATCCCAGCTGGGCACAGATGCATGCCACAACCCAGCCTGGCCATGAACCCCGTCACAGCCCGGCCCGACCCCGAACCCACCATCACAGTCAGGACCAGCCCCCCTGCCACAGTCTGGCTCAGCCCCAAATATCCATCACACCTGGAATCAGAACTACACACACAGAGCGCAGAACGCCCCCCCATCACAGCCGGGACCAGCCCCCCTGCCACAGTCCAGTCCAGCCACCTTGATGTCACTGGGTGGCACTTCAGCAGGCAGCAGGGAAAGGACAGCCCCTGCCTGTGCTGCTCCTCTCACCATGAACCCCTTTTATTTGCCCAAAAAGGACTGTCCAGCCATACAGAAATACTCATTTTTAATCAGATGTGATAAATGGTAAACTGTTGACATGGATCCCCTTTCTTTCCCACACAAAAATCAGTGAAACCACGTGGACAAGGCAGAGTTGGGAGTTTCCACGCTCCTGATACAAAAAGCATGTGAAATGTGTTCAAAACAATACATTTATTTTGTTTTTAGAAGATTGTATAAAAACCCGCAAGATGGTCAACATTAAAAATCCTTAGCCTAAAAAAATAGCACCAGGGAGAGTTAGAAACCTTTAAAAAGTATTAAAAAGGCATTTCTGAAATCCCCCTCCCTTATCATTTTAAAAACACATAATAAAAGGCAGCTCTTACAGGGAAAAACATTTCAAGGAAGACTTGTCTACTACAATTCTCATCAAGTGAGCTTAATGCCAAGACAATTCTCATTCCTCTTTTATCTTTGTTTACTTTCCCCAAGTCCTTTTTTTCCCCTCATCTATTTGTTTTCCTTTTGATCAGATAGGAAAGGATGTACGATCTGGAGTATAAGATCAGGTTTGGGAAAATCAAACCCATCAGAGGAGCCAGAGGGCAGAGGATGACTGTCACCCCGAGCCCCCATGCTGGATGGCTGTTCACCCCCAGGCTCCATGCCAGGCTCCAAACAGGCACTGCAAGGAGCTGGGATGAGGAATTAGTGTTGTGGCTGGGGTCCAGCTGGACATCAGGATCAGAGGATGGCGAGGGGTCCAAAACCAGCCTGTGGTAGTGATGCCAAGGCTTCCCAAACACCTCCAGCACCACTGGGGGGGTGTGAACCCAGAACCCACTCTGCCACCTTCCCAGTCCGGAGGCTGGTGACAAGAGGGTGCTTTGTGTCCCTGAGCACTTGTCAGGCGTTGGAGGTGCCAGGCGTCGGAGCAGTTTGCTTGGCTTTCTCCAGCGTTTTCTTAACTAAGGCCTGTGGCTTGAATACACATCACTGAGGATGAACCCCTGAGGGAAGACTTTAAAATGTAACCTCCAGGTTAAAAAAGGGAAAAAAAACCCTTTTAAACTACCTGGGCTTCCCTTCCTGCCCATTCCCGAGTGCAGCCTTAGGTTGGAGAGCAAGAGAAGATGGTCCTCAGAGCTGGGGTGGAATGCTGCACACAAAGGGTGGAAAATGGGAGGCTGCCATCCTCCACTGCCCAGGAGGAGGTTCCAGGAGGTCAGAGAGGTAGAAGGAGGCAGGAGAGAAGATCTCATTTCCCACTGATGCTGTACAACACCTCAGTGGGTTGGCCCATGGTTTGGACCCAATGAATTTTGAGAAGGTGCCCAAGGGTCTGCCAGAGCCAGGTGACAGGTGAGCAGCAGAGGTAGGGGAGGACAGAGGGACCAAGGGGGAAATGTCACAAGTTGTTTCAGTGCATTGAAATGTGCATCGGAATTCAGAGTTCCCAGAGATACCTGCTGGGACAGCAGCCCAGTGGCTACCTAAAACATGGCAGAGACGGACATAGGCACAGCAGGCCCAGGACTTCATGGACAGCAGGATAATCACTGGCAAAGTTGGGGAGCAGAGGAAGGCAATCAAAAGTGTGTACAGTGGTGGCCACAGGAGCTCCAGGTTTGGAGGTACAGCCCCAGGAGCCCCCAGGGCACTGCCAGGCTGGCGCTGGGCACAAGAGCATCAGCAACATCCTACCCTTGTGCACAGTGATGCACAGGGACATGGGTGCACAGAGAGGAGAGGTACAGTCCCTGCCTGCAGGCCCTCAGGACCCCCCAGCAGTGGCAGTGCCTGCAGAGGGGGCACACACAGCCCCCACAGCTTTCACACCTCACTGCCCTGCAGGATCCACTCCCCTTGCCCATGGTGCAGGATGAGTAAGGGCAAGAGCAGCGCTGTACTCCTGGACCCTGCACCCCATGAGGATTGGGTGGGATTTTCCCTGGAAGGAAGCCCCTGCCCCACAGAGAACGTCCTGCCACCACTGCTTGGGTTCATGACATAATACATGACTTTGGGGGCTGTGGTTTGAGGACACCACTGACCATTACACTG